GAAAAGCTGCACTTTCTTCTTCTGTCAGTCTCCTCCACTCCCGCTTCACACCAAGAAGAGAAAAAAATGCTGCTATTGCTGTACGTAAAAGTATATTCTGGTTAGGAGAACTAAAAGCAGATTTTGAATGGATTTGTGGGTAGAGAAAATGAGGAAGCTGATGTTTGCAAATTAAAATGTTAAGACTGAAAGATAAAAATTATCCATGAAAAAGATCTGTTGTGAAGAACAAGGAGGAGTTTTTGTAATATATTGTGGGAGTTCATTGTTACATATGGTTGATAAGATGATTTGAAATGGTGCGGGGAAAAAAGCAGAAGTGTGGAATGTTCCTGTTCTCTGTGTTGTGACAGTGCTAATGGCATTTTTCTGTTCCAGGAGTGAGTGGCTCTGCATTTTAGTGCAGTTTCTAAAGGTGGGTATCATGCTTTCCAAGTGTTTCATGTGAAAATTGCTGATGTTGATATTTAAGTAAACCACAAAGTACCAGCAAAGCTTCATGGGGTAGAAAATCATTAATATGCTGATATAACGAGCTGATTGGCATTGATCCAAGGTAGAATCATGGAATTTCTTGCACCAGATGTAAATGTTGATGAATTATAGGATTGCAGCATGGCGCCAGGCAACAAGACTTCAATGGAACTGGTTTGGTGGTTTACTGAGTGCTTTTGGCTAATGTTTCTTACAAACACATCTGGTATGTAGCTCGTTTGGTTTAGACTATAAAATTGGTCAACAAAGGCAGGGAGGAGTGCTGCTGTTGGATAAGTAGGTGTCCTGGTTTTGTTAGGATAGAGTTAATTTTCTTCTTAGTAGCTAGAAGAGCTGTGGTTTAGTTTCAGCATGGGATTTGTTATGAGAAGAACGTTGGTAAAGTTACTAATGTCATTAGTTGCTGCTGGAGCTCAAGGCCACGGTGTTTGGCTGGTTCACAGCTGCATCAGGACTGGGAGGGGGAAGTGTAGTGAATAGCAAAGCTCAAAACTGGCATCTGGATGTGCCAATGAAATATTCCATATCATATCCCGTCATGTCAGTATATTAACCAGGGCTGACCGGAAATCAGGGATTTTCTCTCTGGGATCACTTGGGCTGGATCTTCCGGGGTTTCGGTTTCGGGACTGTCTCTGTTCTGGGATCGCTGGCTGAGACAGGCTGAGCATCGGTCAGCAAGTGGTGAGCAACTGCACTGTGCATCATTCCATTGTGTATTCCGTTATCATCATTATCACTTTAATTAGTAAATTGGTTTTTATCTCAACTCACGAGTTTTCTTACTTTTACCTTTCCAATTCTCTCCCCTGCTCCCTGGAGGAGGAGGGAGAGGGAGAGAGCGACTGTGTTTGGCTGCCAGACAGAAGGAGTGAAACCACCCCAGTAGTCCTGGATGTTAGTACTGTATGCTAATATACCATGTGTTAACTAATCTTGATGAGTAACCATGAATGAGTAATCATCTTCCAAAGAAGCTGTTCCTACAGTGTTCTCTGCCTTTAGGTTTAATGCTGGTCGGGTTCCATGCTTACAGATAAGCTGTAAGAAAAAGTGATTCTGCTTGTAGAGTTTGTAACAGGTGAGTCAGTGGTGAACAGCCTGTAGTTCTGGGGGCATCTGCACTCCATGCTGAGCTTGATCTTCCATCATGCTTCCAATGCAGTGAAAGACTTCCTTAGACTGAAGATTTCTAGTTCCTAGAAACTTCAAGCATGAGCAGTTCTGCTGTAGAAGTCAGTGACTTGAAAAGGTGACTCGCAAACTCACGTAAAGTGACAACACCATGACAGTGACCTGTCTGGTTCATTTCCCAGCACTGGTATTGCATGTGCTCCTCCCTGCATCCCTCGTTCATAGAATCATAGAATGTTGTGGGTTGGAAGGGACCCACAAGGATCATCCAGTCCAACTCCTGTCCCTGCACAGGACAATCCCAAGATTCAGACCATGTGTCTGAGGGCCTTGTCCAAATGCTTCTTGAATATTGTCAGGCTTGGTGCCATGAGCACCTCCCTGGGGAGCCTGTTCCAGTGCTCCACCACCCTCTGGGCGAAGAACCTTTTCCTCATGTCCAACCTAAACCTCTCCTGGCACATCTTCCTGCCATTTCCCCTGGTCCTATCGTTGGTCGCCCGAGAGAGATCAGCACCTGCCCCTCCTCTTCCACTTGTGAGGAAGTTCTAGACTGTGATGAGATCTCCTCTCAGTCTCCTCCAAGCTGAACAAACCATATTTCAGGCTGATCTGTACTCTAACCTCCAACTTTTCTACCCCACAGAAGGAGATACCTTCTTATTCTTCCATTGAAACACAAATAGGGCTGTTTGCGGTGTATTTGAATATTGACATTCCCAAAATTACTGTGATTGTGGTTTTGTGCTGCTGCTCTTTACCCTGCACTTAAGTGGAAATTTTTTTTCCTATTCCCTAAAACCTGAGAAACCCCTTCAGCTTGTTGCTGCTGAGGTGGAGGCAGGACC